CTCCCACATGCCAATGAAGGAAGACAGTGGTTCCACAGCTGGAGTCTAGTTCCAAATAATTATGCTCAGGTGCTGCAGGTAAGCCTAGGCCAGCACTGATCTACAATGCCTACTGATGGATGGCTATTCAGTGCTAATGTGGTTTTAATTTGGTGGGTCTCAGTGCAGTTTCCAATGGACAGGTGTCCATGTAATAAATCACTGCCTCACTGACCACTAACTGGTATCTTTGCTGGCAGTGTGATAAGAGGGTAAGGATTAAACAGGCATGGAGACAGAGACTTAAACTCTCACTTCTGGGGGTGCTCACTTCAAGGAAGTTTGTACTGCCCATCCTATACCAGTTGTGTGGATAGTGTGTGTGATGCTGGCTGACCTGGTCATGCTAGAGTGTATTCGCGCCAATTCACTTATGTATTAGTATAGGTCAAAATGAGTGTAAATGTAAGAGTATATTCAGGTGTTTAAGCTTCATGAAAACTAGTGGAATGTTACTTCTTGTTTTCACGTATCTGTTGCCATTATAATGTAATAGCTAACATTTCCATTGGAAATACCCCTGTAACTAAATAACTCATCAGACATCAAAGGTGACTTGGGGAAGGCTAATGAAGGACTTTATCAGAAAAGGTGCTAATTTCAAAGCAAACGGCCACTGTGTGTGGTGACCTGAGGTCAGAGACTCAAAGTGCATTCCTCACCCCTCATCATCATCAAAGAAAAAGCAAAACTGGGTAAAGAGACTGTCAGCTTATCTTCTGTGATAAGATATAAATATGGATTCAAAGATCCTTTATCTCAGATTGTTTGGACTCTTACAGGGTAGTGGGCCAAATACAAAGCAGAGATCCCCAGACACACCTCTGGGCACCTTGAAATTTTTCTTGGGAAACTGGCAGTTTATTACATCTCTGCCACCATTTGGACTTACAAACTGTGACTCACCTGTTAATATATTTTACCTGCTTTAACCTCTCAATAACTCTCATTTCCTTTTCTTAGCTGGTAAACCTATAGTTAACTATAGAATTGGCTGGCAATGTTGTCTTTGGTGTAAGATCTGGAATACCAATTTATCTGGGGTAACACTGGGAGAAACCTGATCTGGTGTGATTTTTGGTTTAAGTGATCATTATCACAAAATCCAGATTGTGTGGGTGGCAAGATAGGCTGGAGAGTCTAAGAGGACTGCCTGTGACTCCATGGTAAGACTGGAATAGTGATCCAGTTAGTTACTGGCTTGGTGAAATCCAGTTATAGAACATAACACCAGTTTGGGGTGTCTGCCCTGAGGTGGGCACTCAAAGTTGTGAGCTACTCCAGACAGCGTGACAGAGGGAACTTTGGTCACCAGGGCTATCAATTTCACAAGTTTTAAAGGTCTCAGAGTAACAGCTGTGTTAGTCTGTATTTGCAAAAAGAAAAGGAGTACTTGTGGCACCTTAGGGGCTAACCAATTTATTTGAGCATGAGCTTTCGTGAGCTACAGCTCACTTCTGTAGCTCACGAAAGCTCATGCTCAAATAAATTGGTTAGTCTCTAAGGTGCCACAAGTACTCCTTTTCTTTTTACAAGTTTTAAATTCACTCTCTTTTAAAAAGAAACTAAATAGAACAGTCCTGGGGTTGATGGTAAGGCTGCTTTACAACTAACGTGGAATGAAGCAGAGAAGAGCTCTGAGATGGATGTAATGCAGCAGTCTCTAGCCAGCATAGACAAGCAGGTCATTGTACACACCCTGTACACGTGCTAGGGCCGACACCTCTTTTGGTGACCAGCAGGTATTTGAGGGAGGGAGGAAGTTATGCCATTGTCTGCTCACAGTACAGCTACCTTTGGCCCTGGGAGTATATGGCGCCCAGGGCAATTCGCAAGGATGCGGATACATTTTTTAAAAAGGAACTCACTGAACCCTTCTAGTTACTCCCTAGCAAGGATGAGACTCCCATCCCACAAGCAGCTGTCATTGATGACACCATGTCCCTCTGGGACCTGCAACTCCATGACTAATAATGGACCATGGGCTGCTCTATTTACACCAAGGGAGGCAGGAGCTAGCCCCAGGGCTAGATTGGCAAATGTTGACCAGTGAGGAACTTCCCTTTTCCCCAGTTCAGTGAACTCATTCCTTTATTTATAGGCTTTAAACCAGGGAAGCTGCGTTCTCTGCTTCGATTCAAGACCTGAGCAACCACTCTTCTGTCTGTCCAGGAAGTAGCCCAGCCCTGATGAACATGTGAGGTATTGGCTCTGACCACAAGGCAATGAGACAGAGACTCATTCAAGCACTATTGACAAACAGTCATGCTGTCTCCACTAATTAAGGCACAGGGACACATGAGATGGCTCCAGCCCCAAAGGCAGTTGAGTAGGATTCCAGGTCATCTGGCTTCCTGCTTCCACTCTACGCTGTAGCAGGGATAACCGGAGATTGGCATTTAGTGCAACTTTGCAGCCAGGCTGGGAAAAGTGCCCCAAAGGGCAGTACTTGTGGCACCTTAGAGACTAACCAATTTATTTGAGCATAAGCTTTCGTGAGCTACAGCTCACTTCATCGGATGCATCTGGAATAACGTCTTCCAAAGGAGACCCTGAATGCACACTCTTATTCCAGAGTAAGCGGGGTCATGGAGTCATTCCAGAACAGCTATCTTGGTAATTTCCAGTTGTAGACAAGCTCTACGGAAAGCTGGCCAGAGAAGCCTCCTTGAGCCAGAACACAGGAAGCAGCTGTAGCAACAGTAGCAGCTTGTTCTTCCAGATGCATTGCCTTAGCAAGACTGTAACGGAAAGGGAGATGATATTTGCCAAGCTGGGCACTAGTCTGAATCAACTGAGGAGTTTATCCTGGCTTCTCAGGTTACTCAGTCCAGAGATATGGGTGGAAGAGGATTTCATTTGGCGTTCTGATGTGTCAATCCTCTCTCTTTTTGACATGACATTACTAGGGAACCTCGCATTTCCCAGGCCATCGATTCCCTGCTTCTAAGTCCTCACTATATAGATTTTGATTTAAAGTTGAAGATAATTGAACTGCTTGTGATGAGGCCACACTGACAACTTGGGAACCTACTGTCCACAGAACAGGTAGAACATAGCGAGTAGCCACACAAGCTACGCTACTCTCAACGTGCACCACCCTGGCTATGGGGAGACCACAGCAGTGAGAAGCGGAGTTCAGCTTCCAAAATCCACTCTGCCTTTGGTCTCTCTCTCCTGAGACCAGGATGCTAACTGGGATGTGGACACCTGACTCTTGGGAACATAAACACGCAAACCTTCTTGATGCAACTCACTAAGAAGGTGTCAGACTATAGTGAGCTTCAGATTGTACTGAAAGAAAAGGAGTACTTGTGGCACCTTAGAGACTAACCAATTTATTTGAGCATAAGCTTTCGTGAGCTACAGCTCACTTCATCGGATGCTTCAGACCAAGGACCTGAGGGGAGAGGCTGTGTATTTTATTACTAATTCCCTGAGCCTTCCACTCTGTGGAGTGCTGTTGGCTTTTTTTTAAAACTTACTCATAAGAGGTACAACAACTGAAGTCTATGTACAGAACTATAATGTCAATAGTGATCTATTATCCATGTGTTACATTTATTTTACAGTCACTCAGGCTTATAACCCAAGTTATAAAGGTCAAAGCTCTGAATCAATTAAGATGCTTTAGAGCAAGAGAAGAAATATTTGTAATTATTCAAATGGACTGGAGACAAAAGCATTAAAAATGGAGGGCCAGACCCTCGGCTGGTAGAAAGAGGCAGTGTTGTTTTGTGGACAGAATACTGCACTGGGACTCAGGAGACCTGGGTTCTCTTCCCAGCTCTGCTATTGGGCTGCTAGTGACCTTGGGTACGACATGTCACCTCTCCGTGCCTCAGTTTCCCATTTGTAAAATGGGACCTCCTTTGTGAAGTGCTTTGAGATCTATGGCGGAAGCACACAATATAAAAGCTAGGAATTAGTATTATTAAATTGTCATTATTAAATTTAAATCTCAGTGTCTGATTTACCCCAGCTGTGGATCTCGCCCTCCAACTGCGCATGCCTGTCTATTTACTAATAATGCAGGGTCAGAGTTCTAGTCTTGTGTTCAGCCAAGATTCATTCTTCTGACTCTTCAGTCCCAGTTCTCCACTGGACGTAAATCATCAAATCTGGATGTACTGCCAATCCCCTTGTCAATGTCTAATTTCCATGGCAAGAGGCCATTACTCACTGAGCTGCCTTGGGAAAGTCAGACTACGCAGGGATTGGAGGATGTCTTTGAAATAGGTCAGTTGGAATATCCACCTTGACGCATTCACACTCGTGATCACCCAGTCCAAGGCTCACCCTTCATTTTTCCTGAGGATTGTGGTAAGGACTGGCAATTCCTAGACTGATCTTCATTGGAAAAACATCCCGAGGTCGATAGGTGTTCAAACTCTGATTGCTCAACTCTTTAAAGGATCCCTTTATGCAATTAAAAAAAAGATGCTGAAGTGACTATACGACAGAGCAGACGGTACCCATTCTGGCATTTCTAGAGCCAGTCAGGCTCTGCCTGAGCCAATATCGTATGGCATGCCAGACATAGTGACCCCATTTGTTTTGACTGAATTTAGACTCTTATATTTTATGCCTATGAGTATAACCTTGCAATAGCGCTGAACGTTCTGAACTGCCTCCCATTCATCTGTCTGGGATGTTAGCTCCATAGCTCGGTGGAGACAATTTAAATATGAATATGATTAACTCTTTCACTGCTGCTCATTTAAACTCCCGCTACTCTGGGATGGTGAATGGTGCTTAGGTAGAATGGCCCCCAAGGGAAGCCACTCAGTCTGACAGAACAAGATGTACAGAGATGAAAGTGGGATTTGTTTGGAGCCCAAGTAGGAAATATTTGACCAAAATTTAGAGTATTGGGGGCTGTATCATATCACTGAACCTTGTATATATGAACCTCATGCATATAATTCCACATCCTCCATTTTCAGTATCTCTAGACTTACGGTGCAGAATGTAGGAAAATTGGCTCTTGTGTTCCAGGCATAACCAAGATGCAACAGAGTCAGCAATGGTCCTCACAGTCTCTTGGTATCCTGTGTGCTCCAAGAAGATAGAGAGGCAGGGTGAATGCTCTAGTGACTTTGGACACAACTATACATCAAGTAATATTAGAAGGAAGGGCTTGGGGTAAGGCAGAGTGTAACCCACACACCTCCTGGGTGTGGTTTTCTGTCCTGGTGGGTGCAGGGGCGGGAAGAGTGTGATTTTTTATATATGAAGTTTGCTCTACAGCCTTAGCTGACAGACAGTTGGCTTTTAACTCATGCCGTAGAGGCTCATGCACTAAGCTCCAGAGGTCCCAGGTTCAATCCCGCCTGTCGCCAACCAGGGTCTGTAGGCATTACAACAGCACTAGGAGTCAAGACACCTGGGTTCTACTCCCAACTCTACCACAGATTTTCTGCGTGCATCTGGGCAAGAAATCACCTCAGTTCCTCCAGCTGAGAAATGGGGAGAATAAATACCTGCGTCAGACATTTTTCATGCTTTAGTCTTTATAAAGCACTTTGAGAGATACTTGGATGGCAGATGGTCTAGCAGGGCAAAGTAGGTTGAAATGATGTTATGGGAGAAAGAATAACTATGACCATTTCAATGTCTTTCTTGAGCTGTAACCTGCACTCCAGTTCACTGAATACATAGTTCATTGGAGCCAGACCCACCTACCCTGCCTATATTTATTTCCAGAATCAGGACTTTTGATGAGTTATGAAGGGACAACAAGTGGCCAGATTTTTTTCCCCATTAGGCCAGACTATAGTCTCCTACTCAAAACCCTTACGTACCAATACAGTGACTAAACCTGATGATTACACAGTCCGGCTGATAGAGACTGGTGTTTCACCCACTCTTTCATTTCAGGCCACATTAATTACTGCTAGATACTTCCACCCAATGCTCTTCCAACTGTCTTGCACGAGGCAGTGATGCTAAAGTGCCACCATCTTCCCCATCACAGAGGTGGGACCAAGTCTCCTGCATGACAGCGCATAATGCTCTCTGTAAGGCCACCCTTGTGGTTTATTTTTGGTAGCAGAATAGTGCACTGTAAACCTTTTACAGTAATTGGTCCAAGGCTTGTCAAATTGGCCTAATTCCCAATGGCTATTTAAAAGGATAAGTGTCCTACTAACATTTCCCCGCCTTCTAAACAAACCAAATGCAATATGAAAGTGATACCAAGTGGAAATATACATTGTATTCTGGGCATCTGCCTGGTTCATTTGATCTTTGAATCTTCTGGTGGAGATGTTTATCTTTGAATGCCTAAGGAATGCAAAACCCAGCAGGATTTTATTCCAAGCTACACTTTACAACTCCTGGGTTCTATGCCTGTATCTGTCATGGATTCACCAACACCTCCAGTATGTTATGCTTACAGGGACACGGTCTGGATAAATTCAGCCCCAAAATGTAGAGTTAGGGGACACAGAATTTAAGACCAGTGTTCCTATTAAATCATGCTTAAATAATTTAAATGAACATTTTATATACGCACCCACACAGACACACAAGTAGCAAAACAAGCAGCATGAAAGAAAGGATTATTCACATTTCTATAAATGATCTACATGGGGAAAGATAAGCTGGAAGGGGCATGAAGCTACTGGTGATCAGAAACCGGACTGCAGTCATTCTGAAGCAATTTTCATGCTGTGCCACAATTTGGCTCCTAGTTCCAAAGAGTGCTCAAGCATGTGTGGGGGAGGGGAGGAGGAGTCTCAATCCTGCAAGGTGCTGATGGTCAAAATCGACTGACTTTGAGAACAGGAATTAAGAGCTCCCAGCAGCTCAGGATAAGGCTGTAATACCCAAATGAAAGTGTGAACACAGAATAAGGATTTTAAAGCTCTCCAATCACGTATTCCAACAATAGCCCTAGACAGTTCCACAAGGGTTACTGCCAAGAAAAGGTGCTGGCCAGTAAATGTTTCTTGAATCCATCATACTCCTTTCTCCAATGGCTCCCGACAACTTGTTCTATTAATTGAGTGTCCCTCAGCTGGTACGGTGTGCCATACTCTAGAGAAGGTTTCCTGCTTCTGAGCAGGCTTCCTCAGTCACCCAGCCCAGCCAGGAGCAGATGGCAAGGCAAACTGACACCATTCCAAAGGAAGTGACTCAAGAAGAGGTCAGGCTTATTCAGAGGCAGTCATGAGGCAATGTGGACAGGCATTGCCCTGCTTTGCTCAATGGCGATTCTTGTTTGGGAATGGAATGTACAATCAGGCCTCTTTGTGACTGCATGTCAACAAGCATCACTTCCTTTGGGATGGTGTCATCTCCCCGTTGGCATCTGCTCCCAGCTGGGCTGAGTGGATGAGGAAGTCTTTTTAGATGCATAAAGGTGGCTATGGGAGGGGAACCGTTCCAGGTGAGGGATGCTTTATTTGGAAATAGAAACTACTTGTAAAGCAAGGAAGGAAATCCCACTCTGAGCTCTTTGATACGACAGTTTTAGTTTCAGTCTCTTGGCTGAAGTGCCAACTCTTATAACAATATTCTTCAGTGAAGTACAACAGATTGCCCTAAGCAACCATACAGTAAAGATACCACCATCACAAAGCTGTGATACATCAGAGAATAGTGCTCATTCTGCACTGGTATCAATTGGACCTCAATGTGATACACTCTTATTGTCTTTGTATCAACCAAAGGGGCTGCTCCAATTAAATTGAAAATGCCCATCAATATAATTTATGACTACTTTGAAGGGTTTTTTAAAGTGATGTTGGTTTCAAAAATGTACAACAACTCAGTCATTAGAATCCGTCTTACATTAAAGGTGTCTTTGGATGGTACAAAAAGAAAAGAGGTCTGTTCCATACAAGGCATACTGTTATTAGCCAGGAATTCACTAAAATGTATTGAACTGATTCAGGCACCTGCCCCAGCTAGCCCAGGCATACAGTAATTTATAGCACAAATACATTTAAAGGTGCACCCACAACTTTAATAAAACCTCTCACTTCTATCTGGACTGTTTGTGGCACTAATTATGGGAGCTGGATGAAATTTTTCAGCTAAAAATTTTTTTTTTCTTCAGATGATAAATGCAGATTTGGGTTGACAAACATTTTGTGAATTTGAGTCAATTTCGCTGAATTGTTTCAGTCAAAGTCCTAAAATAAAATCAGAAAAAAAAATCAAGACATTTTTTCTGATTCATAATGACTTATTTCAAAAATTGCTTTCCATTTTATTTAAAACACGTTTTAAAAAATTCAACAAAACAACATGTTTAGTTTCAGGTTGAACAAACTGTTTAGTTTTATCTGAAACAATGTTTTTTTTTACTTTTCAATTTGCCAATTTTTTTAAAATAATTTTAGTTTGAGCTGAAAAATTAAAAAAAACCCCTTGTTTTAGAATACCCCCCTCCCCCACCAAACCCTAGTTATGTGTACAGGCTACTAGTGACACACTGTACTCTCCTATGAGGCTCATGAAAGTGAAAGCTCTTGAGAGATATTTGTTTATATTAAACAATCTAACTTGCCGAGATGTTAAGAAATTTGGTCTTGGACAGATCAATAGGTGCATGATCAAGACTTAATTTAAAAAGGTATCAGTCTGAAATCTTCCCAATATAAAACAAATGAGTTACACTAGTTTTGGACACTAACCTCTTGACAATATTTATGCTTTTGCAATTCTATTTTCCTATTTTAGAAAAATTTCTCTACCTTCTGTGGCTGCGTGAAAGACCCACACAGAGACTATGGGAAAAACTGACAATAATTACACCCAAAGTGATAAATGCACAAAGCAAACTGAAAAAGTAGAGAGAAATATTTCCTCCCTAGTCTCCTTTCAGTTGTTCAGAGGGGTTACTGGTAACAATAGCAGGTAAATCTAACAAAGTAAGAACTTTGCTTGCAGTGCTATTCTAGCCGTGTTGGTCCCATAATAAAGACACAAAGTGGGTGCCTCTCTCACTAACAGAAGTTGGTCCAATAAAATATAGTACCTCACCCACCTTGATTCTCTCTAAAGTAAGAGCCTGTCAAATTTCTATATTGACTTGTCCAAAGGGAACCTGAACTGCAAGTTTGGTTCTCCCAACAAAAAGACAGCCTGAGTTTCCTCAGTAAATGCCAGTTATACTACAGAATGCACTTCAGGAAGGCATTAATCAGCTACCTGCCTTTCCCAGCACAGCTGGACAAATTGAAAAAGAGGAACATAAAGCAGCAGTAAAGTCAGCAATTTTTTATATTGTTTGGTGGTGTTTACAAGGAAACTGAGACTCGGCCTGTTTTCATTCACTTTGTTCCAGCTAACCTGGATACCTATATATGACTCCCATTACTGTAGTGTGGGCATATTAGTTAGCCAGTGGGACAGGGCAACATGGAGTGAGATTCCGTCCCTCTGCAGAGAGGAAGAACTATCAGAACATCTGGGACAACAGCTATGCGACAGGAGAAGCGATCAGGTGTTTGAATTAGCAGGTTGAGTTAAAGACTTGGTCCCCCACAGCCTTTCAACTGTAAGCCACAGGAGATGCCCTTTGTATTATTCCAAGAAGAAACTTATCTGCCCCTTTTGTCAGGAGAAGATGGGAAACAAATGATCACTTGAGATATTCTTATAGTAGGGAGCGGAAGGGAAAATTTTCATGCACTAAACATTAGAATTGCCACAAGACATAAGAGTCTGTTTGCAGTATGAGATAGCAGTAGAAATTAGAGATGAAAAACTTGTTCAGCGTTATCCATTTCAAAATATTTCACTTTTTTCCATAGTGTGACCATATCAAAATAGAAAGATATTCCTGAGCAACCGGCGCTCCCATTCACAGTGCTGCAGGCCACTATGCCTTTCATGTGAGAGCACATAACATCTCTAGGGCAACTATAGCAGTCGCTTGCATGTAAGCGATCAGAAAAACAGGTGTTTATTTCTAGCTGTCTTCTGGGTGAAGAAGTGTTTTGTCCTTTTAAAAGACAGTCAACTATGTCTATTTTTATTCTTCCTCTTCTCTCTCCTCCATTTGCTTTGGCACCTGGCGTGAATCTGCTTCTATTACACTTTGCCAATAGCCAAATGGGTCAACTTAATGTACTTAACTTTTCAATCCCAGAGTCCATCCTACACTAGTGTCATGAGTGAAACAGACCTGGGTTTTTGTTTTTAAGTCTATGCACAAGAACAGCCTATGATCTACAGCAGATAATATGGGACCAGGACAAACAGACTTTACCACCTCTATTTTAAAAAAGGTTATCACTGCAAGACTTAAAGTCATTTGAAGGGCAGCAAAGAACAGCTTGCAGCATGTTTACCTGGCCTGCACTCTGTGTTGATAGAGTACTTGTTCAGCATTCTTTGTTGCTGCTATGCCTTTAACCTTCAGCAGCACCACTGAATTCCAAAGGATTGCAGGACCCTCATGTCCATCAGCCCGGAGTTATAAAACTTTCTATTCAATAACTTGCCAATATTTGGAGTGTTCAAACAGAAGATAACACTGTGGGGAAAAAAACCTTTTCTTAAGGGTTTATTACTGTTCTTTAGTGCAATCATTTAAAAGGGGATAGTCCTGCAGCACCAGTCTCAGGCAATTCAAGAGCTAGAGGCTTGATGTTCAGGAATGTAGGGCACCCATTTGAAGTCAGTGAGATCTGCAGGTGCTTAGCACCTTTGAAAAAGAAAAAGAAAAAAAAGTAGACCCTGTGTGCATATTTTATACACAGGTAAGAAAGAAGCAAAGAAAAACTATAAAACCAATTACTTCAGCAATTGTTTCAGAGTAACAGCCGTGTTAGTCTGTATTTGCAAAAAGAAAAGGAGTACTTGTGGCACCTTAGTATGCATCCGATGAAGTGAGCTGTAGCTCACGAAAGCTCATGCTCAAATAAATTGGTTAGTCTCTAAGGTGCCACAAATACTCCTTTTCTTTCAGCAATTGTGTATCTGGTATGTCAGTGAACTCACAATATACAACTCTTGGATAAACTGGCTGAGACTTATTTTATCATGCCTTAGGCACCCTATGTAACTTATTCACTGCCCCTCCTCCCAAACTAAGACTCCCCCAAACAACCAAATACACATGCATAGGAATTGCATGACTAAGTAGAAAAGACTCCACAATCTTGTGGGCCAAATTAGGAGAGATTATTCAATTTTGCTGCAAGGGAGCTGAGTAGTGTAGAAAAATGACGTGATCTCAATTAATGCTGCTATTTCACATGACTATTGCTTGAATTTAAGTTCACTTGCTATTTGAGGAAGTGACCTAATACATCTAGTCAGCCATAGAAATATGGCTGCCTCATCATCAGTATGTCCTACAAAGAACTGAAATCAGACTTAATAAATAAAGCTATAAGCAGGGGCAGTATCCTCTCTATTCAGCCTTTCAAAATACAGAGTGAGATCTACTTATTAGAAACTACTTTATAAACATGAACAAAAAGGAGGTTCTTCCTTGCAGCACCATGAGTCTATCTAGAAGTGCACAGACATATTTTACTTTAATATATTATTACATAGAAATATTTGAACGTAAAAGAATAATTACTTCTTCTGGGTACGTGCAAGTGTTTGCAGAATTAAGATCTTAGTGTAAACACTTCTATACAAACCTCAAAACTTTCTAAAAATTGATAGTGTCAAAATATATTTTGAAAAGGTGTTATTGTACAATATCTGTTCCAGATGTCTCTGTTTCAGTTTAATGGAGAATCTATTCCATCTTTGCTTATAATTTGGTATTTGATATTTAGCCAAGATACTGAATTTTGATTAGCCTATTTAGTGTATTATATTAGCAAACACCTGAATTAGAAATTACAGTCATTTAAATCTCCCTAAAGTTATTAAATTGTGGAAAACTATTTGACTACATTCTTATTTTAACCTTCATGCCAATTGACAATTGAGTTATCTATTCCATGTGAAAACAACAGTTAATTGCTTATGCCTCCTAAAAAAATGTAACACAGACTTTCAATTATGGAAGGGCTTGAACGCAAAATAAAAATAATAATAAAATGAACAACCATCCCACAAATTCTGTATTCCTCAGTCTCCTCTTTAAATATCTGTATTTTAGGTTATTTCAAAGCGTCTTTATACCATATTTTAACTCCCAAAACTTAAGACCCACAGACATTTCTACACCTGATTTTTAAAATCTATTATAAAGGTATACAACACATGGAAAAGCCAATTTTTTCCATTTGCTAGAAAAACAGTCACGTTCATTTTCAGAGAAACAGGTATACTAAAGAAAGTTAAAAATAATCCACACCACAGATATTTAAACAAGAGGGTGTATGTTTTAATATACACATAACATTATCAGAGTCAATTACATGTGAAACTTTTCACCTCACAGATTCCTAGATAATAATGGACCAGTTTTGCCAATGGAAAGAAAAACAGGTTTGCTCCTGCATCAGGCTTCTGTAACTGTGTCAAACAGGATATACTAGGACGACTAGAAAGAGTACAATCATTGAAACAACACGTTTCTTTAAAAAAAAAAAAAAAACCCTTATAGGCAGAGGAAATGAGAGAAATGTAGTAAGACTGATTCACTTTTACCTGTACAAAACAAACCAGCCTGATCAGATCTTTCCTAATACCACTTCTTGACACCCACCCAAACACATACTACACCCCTTAGTCCCTAAAAGGAAAGAACCGAGTTGGCAGCTGGCCCAGCCAATGAAGAAGGTTGAAGGTGTCTGTGATTTAGACAGGCCACAGTTTCCTTATTACAGGAAGTGTACATTGTATCGATGCAATCAACAGGGGGCATTTCACATCCAGATGTGTCTGCTTTTTTCCCCCCCTCTTGGTCTTAAACTTAATGAATTTTATTCACGAAAATTAAAGAGCAAAGAGCCAGAGATAAAATGTCTGAGCCAGGGACGACAAGTCCCCAGAGCCGTAAAGAGCCCAGGCCTGCCCTGGGAAGAAGCAGTGGAGATCCCATAAACCACTGACACACACCCACCCACCCCCCTTTTCTCTGTCAGAGTCCAGCACAACTCAGTGAACCCACAAGCCCTTTATGGATTTACTTCCTGTAACAAACTCCACCGGCTGCTCACCCCCTCGCTGGGGTGTTCTTTGGCGGGACCCCGCTCTCGCCCCTTCCC